TCCTTTCATGGATGTTTGTAATGGGCTTACAGTTGGTGATATCAAACAGTTCATTCTGCTTTAGTTATAAAACAATAATTTAATATAAGGATCCTGATCCAGGATTTAGTGCTCTGGCTTCTAAATTTCCCTTGGCAAATGGCATTCTTATTCTTTGTCTTATATTTCTTTGTTATGTATTGTGAATATCATTGCTTATTTCTCTATACCATATGGTTTTATACAATTAAATTTAAATGACTGAATTAGATGCCTTAATCATCTTTAAATATAATTGAATAAGGGAACTATTTTCATTAACATATTTCTAATCTAATTCCAGAATTGTCAAAAAACAACTATCTTGAGAAATACTGGTGTGAAAACTTCACCTGGTGTGAAGTTCCAATAGTATAATAGGATTCATGATTAACTGAAAACAATATTTTAAAATTATGATTTGTATAAGCATAGATCAATCAAAACAAATTATTATAATAAAAATAAAAAATCAGATGATTGTCTACCTGAATGCTTTTTTTTTATAATATTAAATATTAAGGCTTCATAATAAACTCAACTGTTTTCCAATACCTAACTTCAAAAGTGGTCATTTTTTTTCTTTAGTCTTGGTATTTTGTGTACGTATATGCTTAATGTAGAAGTTAAAAATTAAAGATGAGAGGCATACAAGTTCTCTACTGTTCAGTTAACTTGTATGAAATAATTGAGTTATTGGCAAGATCTACTAATGATGATGCAATACCTCTGAGGTCCTATTAGTCAAATTTTATAGAATTCACCTGTATGCAGTACATGTGGTAGCACTTTTAAGGCTATTCAAAGGCACCATTTTTGGGTCAACAAAGATACTTATTGTAGCTGAGCTAGTTGGAATTTTGAAATCTTACTACTTTACTTCTTTCTTGGTGTACTAACAACTGCTTGGACCCCTGACCATGAACCTATGTCAGGCAAGTTCATAGGTAAGTTTCTGCCCTCCCCCACCCAGAAATCTCATAATTAGAGACTCTCAGGTTTAAATTGACTTTAAAATAATATAATCACCACTCATCCACACTGATATGACATTTAAATCACTTTTTCAGCTTACAAAACATCAAGAAAGATAGACTCAAATAATGCTATCAATTTATAAGTAAAAATATTTTGAGTCCTTGTTTCTTATGACATATTTACATTAGAATAACAATAAAGTTAGAATTAAATTAGAATAACTATGCAATACAAATTTGCATCAAAATTGTTCTCCATTTATGTTACAACTCACGTATGTTTCGATGATACAGAACACGTTTTAAAAATATCTTTTAAAAACTATGTATTACTCAAAGAGACACACTATATTTTCATTATCCATTTCTCCACTGTTGAACATTTTACTTCATTCTCAAGTTTCCCACAGCTCTGAAAAATTGTGTAGAATATAACTGTAAATAACAACTTTTCTCTGTTAAAAATATTTTCCACTAGAGTGTCTTCCTAGAAAGAGTATTGTTGAACCAAATAAAGGCGGAAAAAGTTATTTCTTCATCATTATTTCTAAACCTTATTAATAACATCTAACTCTTACTTCTTTACACTATAACTTTTTTTTGCTCTGTTGTGAGGTCTCACTTTAGGATAAGGAAATAAAATGAAGCCATTGCAGTTTGTTTCCACACAGGTATAAAATCTTCACCTTAGATAACTAAAAAATGAAGATATTCATTCATTTATTTTTGAAAACAAAAATATATTTTTCACAGAATACATTTTATTATATTTATGTTTTCTCTTGTCTTTTCTTTGCAAAATTTCTGACAAGTTTCCCATCCCATTAATCATCCAGTAGCCTGTAACCAGGAAGGATGGATGACTAATCCTATAGTAAGATGGGAGAAGGAGACATAGGAATCATGTAGCAGAAACATAAAGGAGTGAGAAAGTCATGCATATCATGGATGGATGAACTGCTGCTATTTGGTAATGAAACATCAGACAGTAAGTGTAATTAACAGGGGAACACCTCGTGACATATGTTTATATACACAGTTTTGGTATTTGTGTTGAACATGTGAGCTTGTAATAGGTACTCCCTGATATCTCAGTTGGTAAAGAATCTGCCTGCAATGCAGGGGACTTGGGTTCAATCCCTGGGTTGGGAAGATCCCCTGGAGAAGGGAAAGACTACCCCCCTCCATTATTCTGGCCTAGAGAATTCAATGGACTGTACAGGTCTGGCCTAGAGAATTCAACAGACTGTATAGGTCCATGGGGTCACAAAGAGTCTGACATGACTGAGCAACTTTCAGGTTCTTTTTCCACTTCCTAAGTAAATACTTTTTATGTTTGTGTTAGTCTCTGTATACAATAATATATGTGTAGCTCTTTATCTATCTTACCTAGCAATCTATTATTTCTTTCTCTTCCATACATTTTTTTAATTTTTAGAACTTTGAAAATAAGGATTTCCTTTGCTTGAAAGATCCTTGTGTACTGAACACCCATTCAAGAGCTTTTATATCCAAGTCTATAGAAGATGTAAATTTACTGAATATGACTATATTAAATTATATCATAATAGAATTTTTAAAAATAAAAGTATCAAATAATAAACACACTATCTTGAAAATAAATTAATCCAGAAAATACTATTTCCTATAGGCAATTAAAAATTTTCATACTAACATGATACAGTGTGTCAGAAACTAAATTTTAGGAGTTCACCTTCCTTTCAAATGTTTATTTCTGTTTCTTATCAGTTCAGTTCAGTTCAGTCATGCAATCGTGTCCAACTCTTTGTGACCCCATGAATTGCAGCACACAGGACCTCTCTGTCCATCACCAACTCCTGGAGTTTACCCAGACTCATGTCCATTGAGTCGGTGATGCCATCCAACCATCTCATCCTCTGTCGTCCCCTTCTCCTGCCCTCAATCTTTCCCAGCATCAGGGTCTTTTCAAATGAGCCAGCTCTTCGCATCAGGTGGCCAAAGTATTGGAGCTTTAGCTTCAGCATCAGTCCTTCCAGTGTACACCCAGGACTGATCTCCTTTAGGATGGACTGGTTGGGTCCTCTTGCAGCCCAAGGGACTCTCAAGAGTCTTCTCCAACACCACAGGCCAAAAGCATCAATTCTTCGGCACTCAGCTTTCTTTATAGTCAAGTTCTCACATCCATACATGACTACTGGAAAAACCATAGCCTTGACTAGACAGACCTTTGTTGGCAAAATAGTGTCTCTGCTTTTTAATATATTGTCTAGGTTGGTCACAACTTTCCTTCCAAGGAGTAAGCGCCTTTTAATTTCATGGCTGCAGTCACCATCTGCAGTGATTTTGGAGCCCCTCAAAATAAAGTCTCTCACAGTTTCCACTGTTTCCCCATCTATTTGCCATGAAGTAACAGGACCGGATGCCATGATCTTAGTTTTTTGAATGTTGAGGTTTAAGCCAACTTTTTCACTCTCCAGAAGGAAAAAAAGAGCACTTGAAATCTTTCTAAGTTTATGGTCAGGGGAAGCAGTCATAATTTATCCATGCATGTTAGTCTCTCAGTCGTGTCCCACTCTTTGCAACCCCATGACTATAGACCACCAGGTTCTTTTGTCCATGGGATTCTCCAGGCAAGAATACTAGATGGGATTGCCATTTTCTCCTCTAGGGGATCCTCCTGACTCATGGATTGAACCCAGGTCTCCTGTATTTCACGCAGATCCTTTACTAGCTGAACCCTATTTGCCCATGGTGAATGGCAATTTATCAAACATTTGCTCATCACCTAATAGGTCTCAGGCACTGAAGCCATAGTGGCAGATTCTATGGTAAGAGCCCCAAGTGGTGCTAGTGATAAAGAACCTGCCCGCCAATAGAGGAGACATAGGTTCGGTCCCTGGGTTGGGAAGATCTCCTGGAGAAGGGCATGTCAACTGACTCTAGTATACTTGCCTGGAGAATCCCATGGACAGAGGAGCCTGGAGAGCTATAGTCCATAGAGTCACAAAGAGTTAGACATGACTGAAGTGACTTAGCATGCAGGCGCTCGGAAACAGAGTTGAAAAGCGTTTGTGTTCTGGATGGTTCCAAGTATAGTGTGTCATCAGTGGCATATATATTTCCCTATATTCAATGCTTGTGATAGATACTTGTCGATGTTATATTTCTTTCCACAGTTAGAGCTGAGGGTTCAAATGTAAATTCACATGGAATAGAAAATAGCTCTTACCTGTGTGTAGCACTTCTCAACTTACAAGATACATCTGAGAATTATAATTTGTAAGCTGATGGACAGAGAGGAGGGCTCATGAGGCACTGAGATGACTTTGCAGAATAGCTTTGAGCTGAGATAATAGAAGAATCTAAATCTCATGTAGACAGAACACTGATTTCTCAATAAATTACACACCAAACTTTGCTCTATGGGTGTTTAACAGGTGACAGGCGCTAGGTGTCTGTAGAGATGGAAATCATCTTGGAAAAAATTTTTAAAAGGCTTGAAACAAGAACTGAGACAAAAGTGGCAAGGACATGCTCCACAGTAAAATAATCATTCTTTCCTTGTTGTAAGAAATTCAGATCAAATTTCTTTCATGGTTAATCGGTATCATTTTTTTTTACTTATTTGTAGATAATTCAGGTCATATGAAGGAATTATTTCCTAAATGGATATCCTCACACCTCTCAATAATGTGACTGAACTTGTTCTCTTGGGACTCACACAGAATCCACACTTGCAGAAAATGCTCTTCATTGTCTTTTTGCTCATTTTCCTATTTACCATGTTGGCCAAACTGCTCATTGTCATCACCATCTCCCTCAGCCCTACACTTTCAGCTCCCATGTACTTCTTTCTCACTCACGTACTTGTCCTTCATAGATGGCATCTTCACCTCTGTCACCACCCCCAAACTGATCACTGACCTGCTGTACCAGAGGAGAACCATCTCCTGGGGTGGCTGCCTGATTCAGATCTTTCTGGAACACATAATGGGAGGTTCAGAGATCATCCTTCTCACTTCCATGTCCTATGACCTATATGTGGCCATCTGCAAGCCTCTGCACTACACGACCATCATGAGACAGGGGCTCTGCCAGCTCCTGGTGGTGGTGGCCTGGATTGGGGGCACCCTGCATGCCACCGTGCAGATTCTTTTCATTGTCAGTTTGACTTTTTGTGGTCCCAACGTCATTGATCACTTTATGTGTGATTTCTTCTCACTGTTGGAACTTGCCTGCAATGATACCTATAGGCTTGGTACAGTGGTGGCAGCTAACACAGGGGAGATGTGCTTAGTTTTTTTTATCATGCTTCTCATCTCCTACACAGTCATCCTGCACTCTCTGAAATCCCATGGCTCTGAAGCATGACGCAAAGCCCTCACTACATGTGACTCCCATTTCACGGTAGTGGTGCTCTTTTTCGGTCCCTGTATATTCACCTATATGCGTCCTGTGGTCACCTACCCTGTGGACAAATTTGTGGCTATGTTCTTTGCAGTTCTCACTCCCATGTTAAATCCTATCATTTACACAGTGAGAAACACAGAGGTGAAAATGCTATGAGGAGTTTGTTGAAGAGGAGAGTGACTTAGGCTGTTCATGGTGCCAAGAAAATGATTGTTTATATACATTCAGAGGGCTATACCTGTTGTAAAGTGTGAAAGAAAAGTAAGAAATTTTGTAGGTCATTAAAAAAGAGAGAGAGATCCAGGAACTGACACTTGTTTTTTTCTTAATCTTGGCTAGGCATTATTTTAAGTATACTGATATCTTAATGTACACTGCCAAAGTTTCAGTGTTCATAGGTCCAGAATAGGCAATGAAAAGAACATTAAATCCACAGTTTGATGATTGTAGAGTAAGAAGTTTTTCTCCAGTGTCTTACTGCTGCTTTTTCAGATTTCTCATATTTGTTACTTTGATGAAATTGGCTTTTCCATAGGACCTTAATCTCATTTTTTTTTCCATTTTTACTTACCCTGAGGTAAAGCACATTGGATAGAAATATTGGGTAAAAGCATGGTTAAGAGGGAGTTGAATGAAGGTATAATAGCTAATTTTTCCCTTTCACTATGGATTTATCAAAAACAAAGTGAGTGTCAGTGACAAAAAGAGGAAAGAATATTTTACAATCTAGCTCTAATTCTCTTTTTAACAGAGAAGATAAAGCAGAAAATTTGAAATTACTGTTAATTTGCTCTCTTTTTCTTAAATATCCCTATGGCTCACATTTTTTATTAAATATAAAGAAAACATTTTCATTTTTTATACCAAGACTTGAGGAACCATTTGAAACAAGAGCAAACATCTCTTTCAAATCTCAACAGAAAAGCATATGGTCAATTTCCAAAGATGTTGCTCTGTAGATCTGATTCATATGAGTACATTATGTGAACCCTTTGTTATCCACCAGGCACATTCACTTCAGTTGGTTTATCCACAACCAACAGTGGTAGTTTCATTATATTTGTTCCCAATTTACAGAGAAGCAAATTGAAACCAAGACAGGTTTACTGATTTACTTGCCTCACATCACACATGCTTCTCCCATAAAGTATGTCCAGGACCTATAACTCTAGAATGAAGTTCCCTTAGAAACTTTCAACCTAGGGCTTCTAACTCAGTTTTTTTCAAGTGAGTTGTCTGTGGTATGTTTTTCATGTAGATAAAAAAATTATCTGTGATCTTAATGATTTACCTCTTTTGTGAAGATGGTGTTAATGTGTTGTAACTTTGTCTCACATGTTATAATATACTTCAGCAGCACAATTTTATTCATTTTTTGAAAGTTCGTTATACCACTTCACTTTTACAAAGAAACATTAGTACGGTAATGGTAATCTTAAATGGAAAGGAATCTCAAATAGAAAAAAAATATATATATATATATATATTTATAAATCACCTTGCTGTGCACTTGAAACTAACCCAACATTGCAAATTAACTGTGCTTCAATAAAAAAAAGAAATATTTAAAACCTCACCAACATTTGTATGATTATGGAGTCTTGTGTGTTGACTTTTGTAAAAACAAAAATCCCATTTTATTTTTAATTAGTAAAATCAAGTATTAATGTTGTTCTTCATAAAAACCAAGTGCTTAAAGTTAACTCCAGAAAACTGGGAGTATTTGTAATGCTCCTCTATATACATGGTGAATACCAGGTCATTCTACATTATTAGTAACTATAAATCTAAGCTTCTCTGACTACAACACAGAAACCCATGTCACTTATCACCGATGTCACTTTCTTAGACTCAATGATGAACTAGAGCTATTTATTCCATAATTTGAACATATAGTAATGCTTGAACATGGTACTGGGGTAATGGTATTTAGTAAATTGGGCATAATTATCTCAGATTCATAGGAAACAGCACTTTTTTTCCTCACAATGTCTAGGCCTGGAAGATGATAGAATCAGCATTTAATCTATTAAAATGGTCATTTGAAATTTCTGGTGAGAATTAAACCTTTCAATAAATCAAGACTAAATGATATGTGGTTTATTATGATGAGGAGATAAGATGAGATGAAAGTAATCCAAGGTGAAAGTACTCAATTCATAGAAAAGAATTGAGTAAATGTTGTTTCTACTCTAAGACCAAAGGGAAGATTTGAAGATGTAAAATAAGACCAACGATTGTGTTTTAAGGGGCTATAGCACAGGCTCAATGGAGGAATGAGAAAATTAATGCTGCATGCATTATAAATTTTCAACAGAAAACTTGGAAGGTGTCAGAACTGAAGAAGGATGTGTAGGCTGTATGGAATCTCAGTGGGTGAAGTTTTGCTGGTTGTAAGTTTAAATCTCCTTTAGAAATTCCTTTTCACTCATTCCCAATCATCTCTCCTGAGGAGCAACTACCATGTGACTACTTTTGATTCATAAAAAAAAAAAAAAAAAAATCGGGCATAGTTATGTTTCTCCTAAAAAGTTAATGAGATAGAATGTCTGGAGCTGGTGTATAAGGGCACTTTGTTTTAATACGGAATTTTTATTTGGTGAAAATTTTAGGAGGCATTAAGTGAGTAAAATGAGCTCACTATTGTTGAAGGCCAGCTATGAGGCATACATTTTGACAAGTTCCTTACAAATTTTAACTCATATCGTAGGGACAGGTAGTAGTTGATCGAGTGTCATTCCATTGTAAGCAAGAGGGTAATGAAACTCAATAAAGTTAAGCAAGAATATGAAGTCTCTTAGAGTTGGATCCCTGTATTCATCTCACTTCATAGAACTCCTCCTGTCATGACGTGAAAACGTCAAAGTACGGATCTGACCACTGGCCACATTGTGAAGACTGTCATTGAGGCATTACTCTTTTTTGTTGGTGGTGGGGGGGGGGGAGAGATTTCAGTTTCTCTTTCTTAATTTCCCTGCTGACCTCCATTTGCCGGGCTACTTACACTCTCTTGATCCCTCTCTCTTGCTTGTGTTCATGCTCAGTCACTAAGGTGTGACCCCTCCAGTGTCAAGGAAAAGTCATCTGATGATCTCTTTTCTGAAGATATATTACCTTCATGGGCATTATGAAAAATGGACTCAAGAAATGGAATTCAAATATCTGAGTTTCAAAGGAAGTGCCACTTGGGTGAAAGAGATGCTTAGTTGAAAACAAGCAATTCAGTCATTGAGGAGATTGACATTCTGTTTGAGCATGAGATTTAGCACCTTGAATAGTTAAGTAAGTTCTATGTCCATAGGGCTTTCCACATTGCTATGCCATAGTGTTAACATGTATTACTGGAAGAAAAAAAAATGGCTTCATGAGAAATTCACATAATGATCAACTCCCTGGGAGGCTCTGCAATATCAGCAAGCTATCTGACTCAGGCTCCTCTTAGAATCCTATTTCTTCTTGGACTGTGTGTGATTTTGTGTGTGACCTGTAATAAATCTCTGTTTTCTACAGGCCTTTGGTTCTCTGAAAAAGAATCCTCATTGTCTTTCAAAGTCCTACAATTTAGGGGGCGTTTAGTCTTCTCCTGTGGCACAGATAGTAAAGAATATGCCTGCAGGCAGGAGACCCAGGTTTGATCCCTGGGTCAGGAAGCTCCCCTGGAGAAGGGAATGGCCACCCACTCCAGTATTCTTGCCTGGAGAATCCCACGGACAGAGCAGCCTGGTGGATTATGGTCCATGGGGTCACAAAGAGTTGGACACAACTGAGCAAGTAACACTTTCATTTTTTTCACTTTGCAGGTGTAGGAACCCTGGGCTGAGTAGCACTATGTGGGGCTCAGACCCATATGCTCCCTTGGGAGAAGGTCTACAATTGGATTGCCCCCTTAGATGTGTTGCCTGCCTGAGGTATGAGACTTGACTCTACCCTGTATACCCGAGTCCTATTGGTCTTTGTGTAGCTCCTGCTTTATGTGTTTAGTAACAGAAGGTCCGCTAGTCTTCAGATTATTCTTATCAACAGTGACTTCATAAATAGTTGTAATTTTAGTGTTTGTATGGGAGGACATGAATTCAGTGACTTTCTATCCCACCATCATGGCCACTTCAACTTGTGTGTCTGTCTTTATGCCAGGGTCACATGCTTTAGAGTATACTTTAAAAATACTCTATAGTATAGTATAAAAATACTTTATAGTATTTTTACCATAACTTTATAGTATGTTTTATAATGAAGACCTGTGATCATTTTGGCAATCTGGAGTCCCTTGATATTTCATATGAATTTTAAGACGGATTTTTGTATTTTTGCCAAAAAAAATTGGGGGGTTTTCATTGAGATTGCATTGAATCTGTAGATCTTGAGGTCATCTTGATATCTTAATAATATGAAATATTCTAGCTCATGAACTTTTTTTCCATTTATGTGTGCCTTTAATATCTTTCTGACATGTTTTGGAGTTCTCATTGTTCTAGGCTTTTGCATCTCTGCTTATGTTACTCAATTATTTTGTTCTTATCAATGTTTTTATAAATGTAATATTTTCTTACTTTCTTCTTTGTATTATTCAGTGATAATATAGAAAATCAACATCCTTTCATGGTAAAATAATTTTTAATCAAATTTGGATGATAAAGAAAGTACCTTAATATATTAATATAATAATTAAGTCTGTACATGACAGACCCACAGCTCATTTCATACTCAACATTGAAAGTTTGACAAATTTTCCATTAAAACCAGTAAGAAGACAAGGACTCACACTCTGACTACTACTTTGCAACATAGCATTGGAATAAAAATTCTTGTGAAGCTTTCAGTGTTTTTACATATGAACCAGTTCATCTC